TGTCATTTACAAAAAATTAAAGTCCAAAGCAATTACTACGTATAATTTCCAATAATAAATAAATCATCCTGACATTTTTGAGTTCGTAATGAAACCATCAAACATAAAGTCGTATTTCTAAAGATATGGATATATTGGACATAGAAGAGCTCTCATTGACGTCAAAGTTAGGCAGAAGCATCTGAAAATTCTACAGTTTGATTTTACCACAAATATACAGACGAATTTCGGAAATTCTGCCAGAATGTTTAATTTATTGCTCCGGCTAAGTGCATCGCATACATCTTCGGGTTTTGTCGTTTACAAATTAGAATGTCATACTACGATGATACAACAAATCCAACGTAACATAACTTACCGAGCGTTCATGTTCTACGCGGCTCTTGTCCACAGCTTTTGCATATGGAATTTTGCATAAATAAATGAGCAGAGGTAAATAATACTATGAAAGGACGCTGTTGAAGCAATGATGAATTGAAGAAAGTCGCCAGTCATTAATTAGAACCGTGTAAAAGTAAAGCGTACATAATTAGAACCTGGCTAGTGACAGTAGAATGATGCCGTTTGTGGTCAGACGTAAAAGCGACTTTCAGAGCAGAACGCATACCTTGAACGGCCTCGAATAACCTTGCGCCATAGGTTGTTGCACTGATATGTGATCTGACTAGTACTAGACCATGCAAAGAAAATGATACTGCGGGCTATGTGACAAGAAACAGGTTCGACTTACCTGTATTTGTAAAGTATTTTAAAGACGTTGATTAGAAACCAGAATTTGCATATTTGAAATTACATGGGAGTTTAAGAATCCAGTAGGAAAAGAACATTTTTACCAAATGAATAAGTTTATGACTGCAGTTCTACTACTTCCGACGATATTATATTTTAATGCCCACAGAAACAATCTCTATTTTAGAATTCACAATGCCAGTTGACAAAAATCCTTTGTTTCATGTACTTAATCGCGAATCTCCCATGAAGGTGCATTTGATATTATGTTTACCGTTCCCGGAAAAGGGCAAGCCAACTTCCCTGGACGGAGGATGTCTTGGGTGGTCATAAAGGAGACCGCTCTATGCCACTTAACCCGGCCGGGAAGTAGCGTTCTGCGAGATTCATAGTCGCGGTGATAATTAAGCCGCGTTATGATGCATCGTTCCCAGCTCGACGATGCATCACGCACAGTAGATGATAAACGAACGCGAAGCATGCCGGTTGTCCCCTACGCCGGATAAAACACGCTCCAAGAAATCTGGAAATAGAAGGGACGACTCGAACCGAAAGGATTTACGATTCGGATCTCGTGGGTCTCTTCAGGAATTCGCGATTAAATTGCGTGGAAAATAATAATGCGTGTGACTACCGTGAGTAAAGGATAAATGGGGGATAGAGGCTTGTAATGACCTGGGTTGGTCTGTCATTATTCTTCATGAAATGAAACTTCATCTCTATTATTGGATTAGTGGGAAGGAATGTCAGTCTAGAAAAAACATCCTTGTTTATTTAACATTTAACTGTTATCGGTATATTACTATTTCACTATTTTGTTAGGTATTATTTTTATGCAGTATGTCAGTTTCATCTTAGACATGACTGTCCATCACGGAATCAAGTCTCAATAATTTAAAGCTCCACCGGAAGTATTCGCATAAATCTACTTACTACAGGAAATATTTTTCATGCATATCACTGAATTTATATCGAATCTAACGTCGTGCAATACGGTTGATGAAAACAAGATTTATATATATAGTTATGGTTTACGTCTATCGTTAAAGTTGCTTTCCATTCTGTGCCAATTTCTGAGTTCATTCACGATTCACAAATGTGAACTGAACTATTCAGAAATTCAAATGGATTTTCCAAAAATAATGGATAGAATGAGTAATGGAGTTTCCAAAATTAATTGAATAACATCCTATTCATCGTTGACGTAAATTTTTGTTCAGCTATTCACTATGATAAATCAAGTGCGATAAAGAGATTAGTCTCCAGGCAAAAAATTAATTTTTATTCACGATGAGAAAGTAATATACATATAGTTCAGTATGGAAGTTATGATTCAGAAAATGATATTGTTGGTTACAGTTCCTTTGCTCGACGTCTTGCCTTTAGATAATCACTGTTCATTTACGGTTTGTCTTTAAACGCGAAAATTATGACCGTACAGTTTACTTAGCTGCACATTATACAGTTTATATCTGGTCATTCCTTTGGTGATCTCCTTGAGAAATATGCATATAGAAACATGAAACGTAGGTACTTCATTTTTAAGCTCGTACAATTTCCTTGGAGCTTCGGCTACCAGGTTTCTGTTTCCAATTTACATCTTCAAAATAGATTCCTGCAAAAGAATCACGTGGAAAATGACCTCTCGAATACACTTTGAAAACGCAAATCCGTCTCTCGGTCTCTGTTCGTTGAACACAGGAGAAAAACAGAAGCAGCACGTGTACTTACACGCAGTTTTCCATCGCGTTGAACTACATGACATTTGGCAGCGAAACGGGTAGCACTGGTAGCAGAAATAACATCATAGAGAAAGAAGAATCGAACACGTTATGCAACGAAGTTTACGAATTCTCCTTATTTTTATTATTTCTTCTCTCGCGAACACGCGCAACGATTCCTTCAGACTCCGTCGCGACAAGATATCGTGTTTAGAACGAACCGCAAGGCAGTGTTGAGAACAGGGCGTCTCTTCTTACCGTGACAAATTGTCGCCAGAAACTCGTTAATTCGACACCGGTACAAAGTTTACGCCTGTTGGCACGTTTTCGACACCTGGCACAATTTCTTTGGCCCGCATAACCGCGTTTGTTTCGCTTTTCTTCCGCCGATCGCGTACACGATCCAAAGATCATTTGATATCAAACATTGTGTGAACCACTTTTTATCACAATAACAAGCATTCCTGAAAGTTCCGCTTAGAATTTTGATGTCTGACATATTATCCTTACTTATTTTACTTTGCTCATTTCCGTTTCCATAACAATATTTCACGAATTCTAGAATTGATATAAGATTTGCTTTAAACAAACTGGGTAGCCCCTGTTGACTCACTACAATCTGTAAATATTTGCACTAATACTACATTAATGATTCTTATTTCTCATTTACGTATTGTTCTAGTTGTTTCACAATAATCTAAGCAGATCTAGCTTTCGCAGGTATGCGCAAGGGAAATTGATCGCCAGTTTCACCAAGGCTCCGAGTATTTATTGTTTAATCTACGACATTGCTCAATGTCTTAATGATGAAACAAACAATTGTTGGCAAATATTCACCTAAAATCTAACTATGAGACAAACACGTGCCAACTGGGATTACCATTTTTTTTATATTAAAATTACGATTGCTTGAGTGTTGGAGAATCAGGTAGTTAAAGTGATTAATTCATTTTGTAGATTCTAAATTGCTAGTCATTATTTAATGGCTCATCGCATAAAGAATTTGTATTTTGCTGTTCGTTGCAACAAATGTAAATATTTCAAAGATGAAAGACACTTCAAAAGATATCAAAGTATACTAAAAAATAGACAAATACAGAACGATTCATTTTGTATTAGGAGCATAAAAGTTCTATTACATTATTTTACTTGGAGTACTTTTTTATTTAATCTGTACATCGTCAGAATTTTTCTTTAAACAACAATTATTAAAAAAAAAATTGTAAAAGACTGTAATTAGTGATAAACTTGAGAAAAAAAAAGCTTGTTCCAAATGAGAGATGGACCAGTGAGCCCCGGTTAGTTCAGACCTTAACAAAGTCGTTGCACTTGAGTTCGGGAGCAATGTACTTAACAAAGATTCGAAGTATGCATCAAAACTGGTAGGATGGAAGGCTAACATAAAGCTTCCGAGCAAATAAACCTTGCAACAGTATTACTCTCGTTCCCTCGTCGAAACACGAGCCAGGGTTGGGGGGGAGGCAAAGAACGGAGTGGTTCCTCTCGAGTAGCGCCAGATAAAAGAATTATAACCGTGAAATCGCCTTTCGGATCGCGAAGTTCGCTCGCGTTTAATCCCCTCGGATGGTTCTCTTCGTCGAAGAAACTGAAAAGTGCCGAGAAGAATCACGAAGGAATATAGTAGCACTTCGCTCGCGGAGGATCGTTCGCTTGGACGAAAAGTTGCCAGTAGCAAAAATTGTTACCCCACCCGAATGAACTCGCCCGTATTTTTAACGCGGACACGCTCGAAAACGTGGTCCGGTACGTTGAACAGTTCGGTGGCAGCTGGCTCGCTTTATTTTTTCATCGCCCCTCAGCGTCAATATTATTATTGGCTCGCTACCCGCCAGAATCGCGCGAGTTCCTATATGGAAGCGAGTCGAAATATTACCGGTGAATGAAAGTTTTTTTTACAAACAATACTTTAATCCGAAGTTCATTTGCCTTTAAGAAACAGGAGATTAGCTAGGAAGTGGAAAGATACGGGTGTTTTATTATCTGGAATGAATATTTAATTCTGAAATTTGTCCCGTCAATAATTGTTAAAAATCTCAATCACAGTGGTGGATGTTCATGTACAAAGCAACACCTCCTCAGGCTTCTTCTTATAAGATTCTGAGGTCTTTGATCTTTAGTCCGTGAAACGAGTTGCTGTAAGAGCGTTCTGAAAAATACAGGCGCGAACATCGCCGCTATTTCGATACGTCTGATCGATTCGCGGGCGTATTTTCAGATTCTGCACGACCTTGTGCGATCAGAATACTTTCGTACTTCCCTACTCGTACGCGAATGTCATTCGCTTCGCCGGTAAAAAAAGAACTAGCCGGCTTCTGTCCTGTAATCTTCCGCCTTCCCATTTCTTTGTTCCTCGATACTTCTTCAGGCAGCGTTAAGAAAAAGTTGGACGAACTTCAGATTCATAAATATTTCACGATTCATGTGTATGTCTATTTTTATTTCCTGTCACTTTGAGAAATTTTCATGACTTTCTTTAAAAAATATTAACAAGCTTTTGATATACTTTAAGTAAATTTTTATTATTCACAACTACATACATCCTTTCGTGCAAATTAATTTGAGTTAACAACTGAATCAAATACAGTAGGTGCAAGAATTGCATGACTGATCTGGATTGACTGGACGTAATCCAGTGTGTCGATTTAATTTAAATTTAGCGTCGATAATCCTGAGATGGGTTCTTGTAGCACCTATGAGAGTGATCATGAAAAATACAGCTCGAACGAGTTTAGCAGTTGTTTAATCTTTCATTTTCCATATGATTGAGCAGCTGTGATCCTCTGAAAAATTGCGTATGATACTAAACGAAATCTGTAGTCTGTTTTCACGAATTGATGTTTACGATTAACGTTACTGGTATACATATGTTGGTATAGGTATCAAAATGATTTCGGGGAAGAATTTTGCAAATAGTTTCTTTGAAACTTTGATTATTTGTCGCATTTATTTAAGGGATTCCAAGAATTTTGATTCATCGATATTTACCTTGTAATTTTTAAAGTATTTAACAAAATATATCGTAGAAAATTTCCGACGTTCAGTTGGAAATTCCCATATTCTATTCATGTCTCTGTTGCGCATCAATACATCTTGAATATATTCAGTTTAGCCTTGAAAGTAAAATCATCTAGATTCACTTGAACTGATAGATCAATTGCATTTCTGATGAAATATGCGTAGTCATAACCGTCGTACAAGTAGGCTGAAACATTTTTCCACTTCGCTTCCAAACTTCATTGATTCATTCTGCTATCAATCAGTCAATCAATATCTTTATTTCGACCACGTAAGTCTGCAAAGAAAGAGACTTGATTTGCAATCTTACTCACAATCATCCACAAACTTAATCTTTACCTTTGATTCATTCTATTAATGTTTCAAATACTTTTGTAGAAATTACTCTAAAACTATTAAAAATTAATTGTGTAGTGTTACAATTCTCTGAATGTGAATGCACTTCTCACGAGGAAGGCGGTAAAAAGAAAGTGAGCAGTTATGTAGAGCAGTGGGTTAAATTCATATCATTGACATTCAGTGTTGGTTAATCGTTTATATAAACGTTTCGTTCCCAATGCTCATCACAGTTTGCATTGTACATTTATTTTCTTATTACACATATACTATTTTATTGTGTTAGACATATAAAGTGCAAATAATATTAGAAATCGACTTCTTATTATTCTCATTCTTATTGATACATGAGAAGACTTTGCGAAACCATTCTTTTACGCTTTCATACAAAAATTCCATTGGACCAAGAGATGAATAAAACGCAGAATCACAGAAATTACATCCAGTTTATCTGAAAGAGTATATGAACGGCAAGGTGAGAAAAATCGTCCTCGGTAGCCCAGGGCCGAACCTCGACAAAGAGTCACACGAAACCGTGTTCTCGCGTGGCCGTTCACAAAGCGCGCATATATACGCATGGAATTCTATTTTTCCCACCTTTTGTCGACCGAATTCATCGCGGCGTGAAACGATACCTGGAAGACGCAGTTCGTCGTTGCTCTCCCTGCAGGTAATGGGAACAAACTTCCGGCCGTGAATAAGCGATCGAGAGAAAGAACGGGCCATTGTCAGCGACACGCGACGACTGGAACTTTTTATACCGCAGAACAGCGGGAATCTCAATGAGATGCAGTGAGTCAGTCAAGCGTGTCAGTCATGGTAATATGTAAATACAATAAATAGTCGCGCAGGAGAAACTTTAATCGCTATCGCAGTTTCGTTTCCCGCAGTACGCGGGCATACGTATTTTCGCATTCCATTCCGCTTAGCATTGAGCGCACACGGCGCGGCGACGTGACACACGCACGTCGCGTCGTTAACGAGAAGCCTTGCTCCGCATTCTGTCGCCGAATCCATCTCGGAACGCATCTCGGATGCATTCGATACGCCTTCTACGCGTCCGTTTCTCTCTCTCCCTCTTCCCTACGACAAAATTAATAGTCCTCGAGGACGCATCGCATCGGCCGGTGGCGTGTCTAATATCGTCGACGGGCTAAATGACAGCCGGTCGTCGTATGACGCGAATCATTTGATTGTCCGTCACGCGTCGATAGTCACCAGTCTCTGCTACTGTTTCGGAGTTATTGCAGTTACTTCTTTCTAACTCGTTCCAATAATGGAGGAAGAGGACTTGCCGGAAGATGCCTCGGATGAAGATGCGGTAATACGAGCATAATTTAACTGTTTTAATGAAGATTCAATCGTTCATGTTGAATTGAATAATATTTAGAATGTTACTCTTACTTACATTATGTGTTAGAATATATTGTTACTTACTTTAAGGATGTTTAGGCTATATACTTAAACAATGCTAACATGTTGAATTTGTTATTATAGATTCCTATTACTAT